AATTAAAAAAAGAATATGATAAATACATCTCAGTTTGCAGAAAAGTAAAGGAAAACACAAAACACTACAATACATTACTCCATGCTGGTTAACAAAGTTGATTTCAAATGATGTTTCACTTCATATAAAGATGAATTCAGGAGAGGAATTATCCTGTTCAAAAATAACGGTGCCAGATAGGAAATGCATCCTTCGTATTTAGATGTAACATGGNTACCATGTTTCGAACGAAAGCCAGACTGTACTTCTGGTAAGATACTATTGAAATCCAGGTATTGCCTGATCTGTAGAGAAAGTATTTTTTCAAAAAGTTTGGAAAATGTAGGTAAGATGCATATGGGACGAATATCATTAAAACTTTTAGGTGTGGCTATTTTAGGTATCGGAATGACATTGGCAATTTTCCACAATTCAGGAAATGTACCTGTTCTCAAAGATTCATTGAAAACGTGTTTTACTTCCTCTATGCGGAAAGGCAACACAGTTGTTATCATTTTCAGACTAATATTAACTAAACCCAATGCCTGCTATTTCAGAGATTTCAGAGCATCCCAGACATGGTCACTAGTTATTTCAGTAAATGAGAATTTCAAGTTACTTTCCAGAAAGTTATTATTATAGAATGATAGTAGTTCCGCATTTACGGATGTATTACCGGCAACATTCAAAAAATAATTGTTAAGTAAATCAGGCTCACGGAGTTCTAAAGGAATATTATTCGTTTTGAGAGTCGATTTTGTGCATGCACCCCAGTCGCTGAGATAGCGCCACATCGTATTAACGTTATTTTTATTTTTGTCAAGCGAAAATTGCATATAGGCAGATTTCTCACGTTTCACAGCTTCGTTGACATAATTTCGAAGCGTAATATAATATGCTCTATCTGTATCAGATCTAGTTCGCAAATACCTTCGATGAGCTTTGTTTTTCGTTTCAATCATGAGCTTGATATTATGAGTGATGTAAGGAACAAATCTTCGAGTTTTTTCATTTTTGTTAATTAAACAAAGTGGAGCATGAATATCGAAAAGCGACAAGTTGTGGTTATTGATGAAGTTGACTTTCTCGTTGATATCGTATAGATACACTATATCTCCCCATGGTTTACAATTTGCGTCTAACGCAAAGTTGTCCATGTTGAAGTTTCTGAACTTTCTGAAATAAAATAAATTTTTACATACCTGTTGCTTTTCAAGTTCCAGGTTACAGACAGTCATCATATGATCAGTTATACCGAGCATATCAATTGTATTGCAATGTTCTACTTCCATCCCATTACTGACACATATTACATCTATCAATGAAGCTGAATTATTGGTAATACGGGTGGGATCATTTACTATCTGGCACAAATCAAAGTTAAACAAAATATTCTTGAATTTACTGATATCGGGGGTAGTTTCATGTAACAAATTTATATTAATATCACCCATCAAAACAATAAAGTCCACTTCTAAATAAATTCTCTCCAACATCTCACCCAATTCCCTCATACAGTTGTCGACATTTGAACGTGGAGGACGATAGACAATACCAAGTCCCATCCGTCGTTTTCCAATGTTTACAATTAGCCAAAGTTGTTCGAGCCCGGAATTTGCAATCAATGAAGCAAATATTTTATATTTATAAGGAACGCTCAAGTAACAGGCGACTCCTCCACCTATCCGATCGCGATTTGTACGCACCACATTATAGTAAGGTATTGAAATATAGTTATTTGGAAAATCTGAATTCAACCACGTTTCACTTAACCCTATTATGTCCAGTTTGTTATCAAGAATTCATTGACATTACTTCCGGCGTACGGAACTCACTTATTTGATATATGCATGCAGAAAACTTGAACAAAAGTCTACTGCAGGGGTCGACAAGTAGTTTTGGGTGGGGTCTGGATAACTGTGGTAAAATTTTAACGAGGTCCAGATAAAACAAGGGATAATAATCAGGTGCTACCTATGTATTATTTTTGTTTCAAATCCAATTCTGAATTATGAAACAAGATCTAAAATTAATGTGATAAACTCAATAAAATTCAATTATGAGAAAGATATTTCACATACGTATGTTGAGCCAAACATAGTGGCCAAATGTATAGCTAGTTTCTTGCAATTTTTTATGCTTGGCCCAGAATTCTTCAGTGAATACCGTTTTATACTTTTGCAAAGACACATCTTCTCGCAAATCAATTATCTCTATTTGAAGTGAAGGCTTTGACAGATTCAACAACACCGCCACATCTGTCCATTCTGCCGCAACATCAACTGATTCGCACAAACACACACAGGGTGGATAGGAAACTAATCAAACCATATTAGTAGTAGGTATTTGTCCGAGGTTTGACCTTTCTGTTTGCGGACCGCGGTCCGCCTGTTGCTGACCGTTGGTCTACTGTCTCATTTTTACTGAGAATATCACCTTGTGACGTCAGTTCTGAAGTATCGAGAAATACATACTTCGGTCTGATCCATTCAGGAATGACCCTGTCATGAGTTCTTGTGACGTTTTAAATTTAAATAATTTTTAACGATGAAATCTTTGTTTGAAAAAATCTATAAAAATGTGTCTTTCCGATAACCAGATATCGCCCCTCTACGAGGTCTTACCTGTTAATGTGTGATTCCTAACACGGGTTAACGATAGGAAGTGAAAATCGATCGTCCGGCTTTGCGGTTCGAACCATCGGTTCATACAGCGGTCGATTGAGTGAGTAGATCAAACCACCGAGGTTAACCCACCAGGCTACCGTATATTGTTCTGATATTTGAGCATATTTGTTGAAATCGAAAAGGCGACAACCCCAAACTATCCTGTTACACATTACGGATAATCTTAAACATAGGTACATCTAAAAATTGAAATGATTAAAAACAATATCGATATTGCGTCACGTCATTCTTTCAGAATAAGTAGTTTCATTATTAAATTGACTACGGAAAGAATCTTGATAAATTAAAAATGTTTCAATTAACTTTACGTTCGTTGCGATACTCTTGTTTAATCTTGAAACTCTGAAAACATCTTTTATTTTTAGGTAGAAATAGTGATTAAATTACGTTAATGAGTAATACTTGCGTGAAATTTTAACCATCTTGCAAACCGAGAAATTAAAATGTAACCTAGTTCCGCGCTTTTGATAGTTACGTCTCACTGGAGATTTCGTAGCGAATTTTTATGAAAATATTGAAATATCTTAATGGTGATGAAATTTCATGTTGTGTTCATATCCTATAGAAATATTTCGTTATGCCGTGTAACTGGAGAATACATATCTTTATAATTTTCGCTTTCAGCAACCTCAATAGGATACCCAGTGTCGTCTCAATAACTTATGTTGAATACTTGAATAGAACTGGGCGATACTTGATGAAAATCCATGTTAAAACTGATTAATACAGTTTATTGTATTAATTAGATGTATATATAAAGGGTTTTACAAAATCCGCGACACGTGTTTCGCTTGAGGAAGCTATTGTATAGCGTTCAGTTTTCGCTCAAGCGTTAACTAAAAGTTTAGTTCATACAATAAACTATATTAATTAGTTTTATTTATGTTGAAGATCAAAAATACACATAAATATTATATTCTTCTCTATCCATCCCTGTAGAGATGGACATCAAATGGACAATGTTGTTGATGCTCGCTTTCTGCTCTCTGTCCCTATGTATGCTTAGATCTTTAAAACTACGCAACGGATTTTAATGCGTGTTTTTTAATAGATAGAGTGATTCTAGAGAAAGGTTTATATGTATACAGGGTGTCCCTGGACTTCCTCTTTTCCTCTCGGGAATGTATAGATGGGGTCAAAATATCACCAGTACTTCATATAACTTTTTTAGTTTAATATTCCTCTTGAAGGTGATCACTTGGTGATCGAAACACGTCTTGAGGTGTTAAAAATAACTATTTGGTGTTGGAAAAAACTCCAGTAATATGTATTGCATATAACGTGCATAATATAGTAGAGAAACACTGATAATTTCAGAGGAAAAAAAATAATTCAGTGTTCTTGTGAAAGTAGTTGTTTCGAAATTATTTTTTCTTTAGTGTAATTCAATGTTTATGTGAAAGAAGTACTTTCGGAAGGGTTTTTCTTTCAGTTTGTATCAGAAAAAGTATTTTGTATATGCACTACATATCTTGATACAGGTTTTTTATTGAAGTTTTTTTTTCTTTTCTTTGAAAGTTTTTGTTCAATGATGGGAAAGTAGAAAGCGAAAAAGATTTTTTTATCTTAAAACATATTGATGTTTCATATTTTCCATTATTTCGAACCTTCTTTTTTCTGCTTGAAGTTTCCTCTTATCTGGTTATTTTCTTTCCAGTAATCTTTTCTACTAATTTGTGATTCATTTTTTAATTAACTGGATTTTTAAGATAAACTTGGTGAATGTTAGATATTTGTAGTAAAGATGTAAAGTATCTAATTTCGTGGATGATTCGGATTCTAGAGATATTTTTATAGATGAGGTAATAACCATCAGGATCCTATATATTTGCCCTTTTCGTGACTCAATTCGAAAATAAAGAGAATATATTTTTTCGAATAGAAATTATAAACGTTCACCTGTATCAACTAAATACAATAGAACTACCTAAAACAACTACTTCCCTAGACAATAACACGACGTGCATTGATTATATTCGACATACATTTGGACCAGTTTCATGTAGAAATTCTGCAGATGTTTCTAGTTTGTTCACCATTGCAGGACAGATCTAACCAAGACAGCATGGCCGTCTGGTACTCGATTTCATCTACGCTTTAGCGCCTTTATGAACCTTTGTCTGAAACTGGAGCCAATAGATTTACTAAAATACGGTATTCTAGTATCGACCAATTCCATCTCATTCGATCAGGAAACATATTATGCAGGTACAATATCGCCGCCATACTTGATTTTTTCAGATATTTATCAAAGATGATTGGAGTGAAGCTATTTTTACAAGGAATAATGATGATGAAAAAGAAATAAGTCATGGCGGAATCTGGAAGCGTAAAATGCATTCGTTTGTATTTTGCATAAATAAAAAAACTTTTGAATCCCAAAATAATAGAACAGGTTTGTTTATGAAATAATCCAATTATGGTTTCCCACTGGAAACACATTAGAAAATACGTTGAGAAAGTTGTATTTATATTGATCAAGATATTTTTGTGTTGCCACTCATTTTTTGTTATGCGAACTCTTGTTTCAAGGATAAAATGATATGATTTACCTTTTTATCTTATCGGTAGCTGGTTGGGTTGGCGTGAGTGATTCATTTCGCTATGTTAAACGGTTGTAGATCCGGAAAATTGATTTTCACTGATAATAGTCCCATCCGTGCTATGAATCGCATGTTAAAAGGCAAGACCTAGTTAATCCTTGCCTCGTTTAAGTTTCGTCTTCTGAGGGTTGTCTTAAACCTTGAACTGAATACTGGATCAATTATCCACAGTTTTATGCATTCATCACGCTCGAATAAATTCAAAATAACCAATATGATGAAAATATACCATAAACAATATTGTGAAACAGTGTTAAGAAATCCGATTATTATATCAATTACCTCATTTCCTAATCCTCAAAACCACTCAGACAAGTTGCGACTTCTAAGGGTTGTCGCGTAGGGAAGCGATAGCTGGTCAACAAAAAAATTGATTTTAACATTTTTTCAACATTTCATTGAATTTACAAAAAGGTATGGATGTCTTCAAAGGATTATTGAGTTCAGACAGAAAAGTTTTAAATGCACATATCTGAAGTACTTTCATTGCCATTTTAATTAGCTATGTAAACATATCTTTTCAAATGAGAAAAATATAGGCCGGAACAAAACATTTGACCCACCAGTGGTTTTTCATCACACAAGTGTGGTTTTATTCTATTTGTTTCAAATCTTACTTTTACTAAAAAATACTACTTGGTAGACTGTATCAAATACAAAAGGGAACAGCGTTTTTGCTGCATGAAATATTATGACTGACATACATTTTCGGTGTGCTGATTTCAGACCTGAAGTCGGATTTTTTGTACCAGCTCTAGTTTTTTAAGATATAAGAAAAACGTAATTTTCGAGAAAAAATATTGAAATTGATAACAATCATTAGAAAATTAGCCCTATTCAATAAATTTTTTCATAGGATTTTCTTGCTTGACTTGGTTCACAAAGGCTTTTTTTAATAGTCCGTCATCCTGCGGATCAGTGACACTGGTACCTCTATAGTTCGAATATCTTGATGGAACCGTCCCCCCTGTTCTTCACTCAGATTTCCAAGATTTTTAGGGAGATGGTCCAATAACTGTAAAGGCAGTGTACCTTGACCTGATATGAGTGCGACCACATCTTCTCAACGTGGTCAGTCTAGCATTGAATCTTTTTGTTTCCCAGAAAATGTTGTATAATTCAAATAAATTTATTCCAGTCATTTTTTTTTCAATTTCATTCATATAACTATTGAAGTTCTCGTTCTTTTTCAACCTTCTTATTTGTGAAGATTGCTGGAGCTTTTCCCAACACCAAACCGTTATTTTAACACTTCGACAAGTGTTTCAATCACAAAGTGATCATCTTGAAGATGATCACTTGGTGATCGGTTTGATGTTGGGAAAAAACTCCAGGAATAGAGTCATTACTACACCAAAGGTTCCAAACAGTGCATCATAAGTTCTTATTTGTAGACCATCGAGAATTCCGGCCCTCAGTTTCTCTGTGTTCATCTTATGAACCCTAGGTAAATACTAGGTACTACTGGCCTAGAACCCAGAACTGAGACTTAGCTCTTCTGTCACAGAGACAAATGATTCAGGGATAGTTTGTATAGCATTCTTGTTGTCTGAATAGAAAATTTACCTTTTTTTAGATTTACACATATGAGCCACTTGTGTTCGAGGTGTTTGATTTTCCACATAACAGAGGCCACTGTAACATGTTCTTATTTGAGTTTAGTTGAATGGGTTGTCGGTGATGAACCCGGCTTATTGCCATCATGCATAAACACACATTTCAGGCTACGCTACGTTTAGAGGAATAAATAAATAAGTGTCTTTCATTCGGGTCATATTTGTCTAATCCCATTGCTTTTAATAAACCCGGAATATCTGAACAATAAACAAAGTCATCGTCTTCAGAGAAGAATGTAAGTAAATGTCTCGACTTTGACCACTAGCACAAAACTCTTATTTCTTGAGTTGAGAGATTTTTTGTTTCAATCGAGAAGCTTTTTTATAAAGGCCAATATCCCTTACCAAAGCGTTGATCTAGCTCTTTCTGGTTAAAGGACCCAGGAAAAATATGTGGAATTAAATCAGTAGTTCCACTTTCATCTTTCGAAGAGATTTTTTTCATCTGAGTCGTGATCATTTTGTGTAGATGAAGATGCATATAGCACTGGTCCATCGCCAGATTACTAGATTGGTTGATTACGTGTTAGGGTAAAACCATTTGGAGCGGTTTTTTGATCCACGCATTCAACTAAAGTCATTTTTTGTGGAGGAAAAAATCAGTTTTTATCGACCTTTTTTGGTAATTGTTACCATCCACAATCTGAAAAAATATAAAAATTATAATGGAGAACTTTATACAAGTGTAGAAGGGCAAACTTTTTAGTTTACCCCGATAAGTTACTGCGTAAAAATCAAAGTATTTTTCACAGAGGAAAATCTTCTATTTATCAGTAACTTGTCGTATTTAACAATTTTGCCTATCAAAAAAATGATTAAGAAATAATACTTATCTTTTACGTTTCGGAGGCCAAAATCTGCCTCCGTCTTCAGTAATGGATAAAAAATTCGAATATATACGCAGTTATTCCTTTTTTGATAGCTTATTTCTTTACTTCTTCGACAGATGTCAAAGAAGTTTTGAAATATGAAATTATGTCAATGTTGTTGATTGACAACTGAAACATTCGATGTAATACAAGGTACTCTCCGATATCAGTTTGTTGCCATTTCGCCACTATCCAAAGTTTTCTTCAAGATGGGTAGCCAAGAACGATCTATTTCTAAGGAGCTAATCGAGATACAATTCTCTCCAGACATGAGAATATACTACGTCTCTTAGAATGAGGCTCATTGGTAATCTTTCTTGTCCTATTCCATTCCACCCGATGTTCACCGTACTTTGATTTTACGCAGTAACTTAATAGGGATAATCTAAAAAGTTTGCCCTTCTACACTTGTATAAAGTCCTCCATTATAATTTTTATATTTTTTCAGATTGTGGAAGGTAACAGTTACCCAAAAAAGGTCGATAAAAAATCCACGCATGTTTCATATACCATATTAGGCACCTAGTACTTGTCACGGGTGTCCATAGGGAATCCAAAGTAATCAAGATACATGAGTTTTACGAACTCCGACACAGTTAGTCTACAATTTTTGAATGTATATATTCACGACAGATGGTACAGGAATAGTTGGGATCGTTTTTACAGATATTTCTCGATGTAGACATTGTGGCAAAAAATTAATTTGTAACAGAATCAGTGGTTTTTATGACAGTTAAAGTGTAACTAGTACACAAATATGGTAAATAGCTGTATATCAAGAACTAAAGCTGTTGGAAAAAAGGAAAGATAACGTTGAAATTAGCGACCTTGATTTAGTAAACCACAGCCACAAAATTCCACGCAACCCAAAAAACAATTGAATTTTGTTCCCTTGTGATATACATATATTTCCTCGCATTGTCACTTTTTCCATGAAATGGAAACATTCGCTTTGTCAGTTTTTCCATGAAAATAGGTATAAGAAATTCCGAGAAAATATCGATTCTTCGATTCTGAAAACACCTTCATTTCTCGACTCGAATCGAGGTATACATCAAAGAATATTATAAATGTTTGTCACGTAACTCTCGTAGTCATCGAACTATACTGATTATGTTTATTTGTTTCAGCCGAGCGATTGAGCGAGTACGTAAGTCACTATGAGGTCCTTGATTACGACGCGTCGGACGTTCACAAGGCTCACGCGCGAGCGAAGAGATCGCTCGTTAAGGACAATTTGGTTCATTTGTCGTTCCGATCGCACGGGCACGATTTTCGATTGCGGCTGAAGAGGGACTTGAGCGTCTTCGGCGACGACATGGAGGTGCACGGGCCGCAAGGAAAGTTGGAGGACGTCGATACGTCCCACATTTACCAAGGACACATTTTGGGTAAGTATTTTCATGGCGTTTATTCACATACAGGGTGCTAATATGACCAATAATAAAACAAAAATGATAAACCTTCATCAACAAGCAAAATCAAAACGAGCACTTGACTTTTGGAGAGACAATAGAACTATAACAATACTCTGGCGTCAATTTTTCTCTGAGATGATGCTATGAACTTGTGACTCCCCATTTTATAGGTATTCAAATTCAAACTGGTTTTGGAATCGGACCAGCCTTTGATGTTTCATTCCCCGGCGGCCATTGTGGAATTGGCCGCGGTGGTAGTGCGCCCGACTCACGATCGGAAGGCCGTGGGTTCGATTCCCGCCTCGACCAGATATTTTTCTCGAGAAAATTTATCTGGTTGATGCTGGGATGAATCTGCAACCATGTTAGGAATCACACGTTAGCAGGTAAGACCTTGTTAGTCCTTAGCTCGCACAAGTTTTTCAACTTCTGAGAGTTGTTGTTTGTATGGGGGCGACAGCTGATTAACGGAAAAAACAGATTTTAAACAGTTTTTTTAAATGTCATATTTTCAAAAAAATATTCGAAATAAATGCTTAAATTGTTTACCATTCGCTTCCTGACAAACATGAAGTTTGTTGACACATCAGTGTCTCACAGACAGAAATGTTTCTGGGATATTTTATTGCAAGCTTCTCTTATTTTATCCATACGTTTTGGAATAGACTGCAGTTATGCAACGTATACTATAGATTCCATTCATCCCCACAAAAAATTTACCTATCTACCAGTTTATCCGGTAGATAATGAAGGTGTTCCTTCATACTCAAACGCAACATCAATTGGGTTTGCCTGAAGTATTTCAATCGTACGCCTGATACTACTTTGCATCATATCCAGATACATAGACCGGGTCAGTACATTTTACAAAACCATCGCGGAAACTTTCCAAAATGTATTGTGGTGACCATTATGGCCAGAAAGTGGGTGGTGAACATTCTGAAAATTTATTGGAAGAAAGTGGAGCGAGTTCTGGATTTAATTTTCAATGAAATTATGGAAAAGAATATAAAACTGTTGATTACTCACGTAAGACTGGTTCCAAAAATAAATCAATGTTGAGAACCTTTCCACAAGAGACTTATGATCAGTACTGCAGACGACAGACGTTCAGAAGAGAGAAGAAAAGAAAAGAAGAGAAACAAAATTTATTGCCCAACAGATGAATAGATTTACAGGACAATATATAATATAATAATGCAGTGTAAATAAAGGCTACTTAAACTAAATATATAACAAATGATTGACATATTGAGGATTTGACAAATTAAGAAATAAATTAACATATATGATCGAATTCAGAGAAGACGATGACATATTAATTAATTATTATTTGTGAATAACATGAAATGAAGACAGTCATCTAGTTGATGGTTTGTTCAATTTTGGATAATATGGTCTTCATTGGATCGAAATTAATATCGCATTGACTGCAGTGGGTATTATAATTTTCACATATCAAATTTATTGGAAACACTTTTCCAAGGTTGGATCTAGTAAAAGGGGTATAGAAAGTGATCTGTTTACGTGTAATAGCTTGAGGTACGTTGAATATGATGCAAAATTTTGTATAACATAACAATACTTGATGAAACTCTACGTTGCTCCAAGGAAGGCAGACCGAATATTTGAAGTAGTGTGGAGTGGTCAGTTCCTCTAGCAGGGTACACGCCATCAGTCCTGAATGCAAGAAACTTCAGAAAACGCCTTTGCCCATTTTTCAAGGTTTCTTTATGTACATTATAGAGAGAATACCCAATCAAAGCATACGGTATAGAGCGATGACACGCGTACATTTGGAACAGTGATTCCCAGAGTAATCCAGATGAATCCCAAGGGGTCCATGAGAGACTCGACGGGGGTCTATGTTGACGTGACCGAAAAATGGGGGTTTACAATTCGTAACCGGAGGTCCACGACAATTTATCTGGTTTCGATAGTGAAGAACTAAAATGTTGGCTTGATTTCACTCATCAATATAGGCAGATATTTTTCAATAAGCTCAGCGACTCTTACGAGTAAAAACTTACAAATTCCATATTCAGCACAACGTGTCTAGACTTGCAAAGCGCCGCCGTCCGCAACGCTTGTTCAGACATGCAAAAGGAACAACTCGTTTGTGTGCTTGCAATTTTGCATGAACTTGTTTGATTCTTCACCAATATAAATAAAAATATTTCATTTTTACCACACCGAATGGGGAGTTTTCTAAATGAAATAAGTGAGAATTGATTGGTTTCTTGTGCTGTATTTAAAAAAATTAAGTTGGATGGAATCACTTCTTCGATTGACCAACTTCACTTTTTTGACATCCACTCATAGCAAAATCAATTAATTAATTAACCAATCAATTCTAATTTTCTATTCATTCGAAAACTGGTAATTCGTGGTTAGAATTTGTCAAAATAAATTTTTAAATTGAATGATGATAAAGGAATACCTACCGATTTTTTTCCGCAAAAAAAGAAGCGAACAATCTTCAATGCTGATTTGTTTGTCTTACATATTTTTGTTATTTTTTCATGACATACAGTCTCAACATTTTGGAAAAATGCTAAAGGTTAGGTTAGGGGAATACAGGGCTTTTTATGATGATCGTTAATTAGCCGTTTCTGACAAACTATTTAACGGATCAACCTGAAAATTTCACAGTATGCATAAATCAATATGACCTACACGCCTAAAATATTTTAGACGAAGCGGCGTTGTCGCTTCTACTATAAAGTAGCGGCTTCTTTGATTTTTCAAATGGAACACCCCGTATATAATATCATATTATGATTCATTATCACTTTGTCAACAAATTAATATACTATTTTCCTATACCTATCTATTACCGTTTAGAAGATATAAATTAATTTCGATATTTTTTTTACCAAACATGAACTTTTATAAATACTGATAATCTTGAACTCTCTTGCACTAAAACGATCAAATTTGAAATGGAGTGGAGTGCAACAATGAATATCTTCACTCATATTTTCATTTGCCTCATACAGGGTCTTGATCTCATGAAAAAATGAGTGGAACTCAATTTTTTCACCCTGTATATTTTAACATTTTGTGCTCTACATCCAATTTTAGATTAACTTTGTTCAGATAATACTATTTCTATTTTGAACCGTTTTCGAGATAAACTGTTTCAAACAGAAACTGACGTGGTTTTCTTGCTCGTTTTTTTTGAATTCATCACTTATTTTGGATATTAAAAAATTTTTTATACTTAGTAATATTTGTTTTTTATCCAGTTTTTTAACTGTCTTAGATCAGTCAATACGAAATTGGTATGTACCTACCTTAGAAATAGTTACAATTTGTATACATTGAGGCATTGGTCTCTAACGTACAACAGTACACATTAATATTTTTTAATAGTGTGCTTTGGAAAAATAAATAAACCAATTATTTAAGGTCAGACTTACGTTAGTGGTTTTGCTTGATTGTGACAGCTACCAATTATAATAGTATAATGTCAAGATTAGGTTACAGTAATGAAGGTTTCTTGAATTTATTAATAATTTATGGTGAGTGCAATATAATTGCAAGTAAAACATGCCGAGTATTTCATGAAAGATATCTACAACTTCCGAAGCCGAATAATAATGTGATAAATCGACTACTAAAATACCCTGTATGAGGCAAATGAAAATATGACTCGGAGTGAAGATCCTCATGGTATCACTCCACTCCATTTCAAATTTGATCGTTTTAGTGCAAGAGAGTTCAAGATTATCAGCATTTATAAAAATTCATGTTTGGTAAAAAAAATATCGAAATTAATATATCTTCTAAATGGTAATAGATAGGTATAGGGAAATAGTATATGAATTTGTTGAAAAAGTGATAATGAATTATAATATGATATTATGTACGAGGTGTTCCATTTGAAAAATCAAAGAAGCCGCTACTTTATAGTAGAATCGGCAACGCCGCTTCGTCTGAAATATTTTAGGCGTGTAGGTCATATTGACTTATGCATACTGTGGAATTTTCAGGTTGAACCGTTGAATAGTTTGCCAGAAACGGCTAATTAACGCTCATCATGAAAAGCCCTGTATGAAAGTCACCACAAAATATTTCAATGTCATTGGGGATCGAGTAAGATGTCATTATAACGTCCTTGAAATTCTAGGCCAATGCAAATAAGTCTTGAAGACAGAGACACCAATAAAAAAGCTACAAAGAAATAGTCTAAGATTCGAATTAGACAAGACATTTACCCGTCTGGTATTTTCATTTCGAGAACATGAAATGAATGATAATTTCACTCAGAGTAGAATATCCGAATTTGAAACAACCTTCTGTTCAATCGATAGAAAGTATTTTGGATAGAATTCGGTCTGTTGAAAAATAAATCCCCTGTGGGTCCACTAAACAAATCTAGGTCTGACTATGATTAATCAAAATTTCATAAATGATTTTTTTTTATTACTCTCATAAGTTTATTGAACATATTCAATACAAATAGAACGTAGCCTATAAAATATACAATTGTTGGATTGGCAAATTTTTCCTGGTGTAAGTAGTCGGTTCGTAGATATACAGGTAATTGTAAACAGGTAACTGTAATCAAAATAAGGACTGTTCCCTTATGAACATGATGACATTAAGTTTGCTGCAAAAACATTGTACCAAACATCTATACTTATTTCTGGGAATGAAAGTTTTTGGCTTTCTACTACTCCATCTTGATACAAAAAAATGTGGGAATCTTCCAAAGGAAGGAAGGAGCAATCAATTTTAAAAGAAGTAACTCTATACATGATGTCTAGATCATGCAAAGAAGTAACTTTCAGCCACAAATTAAAAGAAAAAGCCCTCCTGAAACATTGAATTACACGAAAGAAAAATTCTTTCGAAATAAGTACTTTTATATGAACACTGAATTATACAAAAAACACTTTTCTCTACTCATTTTGTATTCCAAACATTCGTTATGTAATTATATCAGATATCATTCACAGGATTTCTAT